CGCTCTGGCTGGGCGCTTCCGCCGCGCGGCAGCTGGGGGACATCGTGGTGGCGGAGCTGCGCGCGAGTGGGCTGCGAGGTGCCGGCCGCGCTCCATGCGCAGCTGCTCGGCTGGGCTGGGCGATCGACGTCCGCGCCGGGGCTGTCGCCCAGGCGCCTCGGCGGGCCTTGCGGCTGATCCTGGCCGCCCGGTCCCCGCTTGCGATGCCGGCGGTCTCGGCCCATGGCATCTGGCATTGCGCCTTCCCCTTCATGGTGGGGCGCCCGATATTGTCCGTCTGCGCGTGTCCGTCTGCGCTGCCGCGTGCGGATTCGTCGCGAAGGCCGGCGAGGCACGGCGGGCTTGGTGGCCCGGCGTTCGCCGGGAGCTATCGCGGGCGATGGGCGTGGCGCCGCTAGCTCGCGCCGACCTCCAGGAGCGGCTGCGCTGAGTTCAGCGCGCGGATGCCCCCGAGTGCGGCCGAGGGGCGCGCGAGCGAGGCTTCGGCAAAAGTGTCGTCCAGGGGCTTGGCCAGGCCGGGGGGCGCCGGCGTTTCCAGGTTGCGAATGCGCAGCCCCCGAGTGGGCAGGTGAGATTTCATTTTCGAAGCGGGTCGAGAGCAGCGACGACGTCGAGCCCGCCTCGAGAGCAGCTGTCGGCAGCTGCGCGGGCGGCTGCAACAACGAGACCTCGTCTTCAAGAACTAGGGACAGCAGCGCAATGAGGATCGCAGCTCTGGAAGCTACGAGAAGCCGAAACGAGGAGCCAGCGCCATTCAAACCATTGGATCTGGAGCTCGTGTCGGGGGGTGGGCCGTCGTATCCAGCGGGGCCTGGGAATGGGGGGGGGCGCGTCGCCGTGTTGGAGGGGGGGCGCTCATGGGGCGCGTCCTTCGGGGCCGGCATGGTCATCGTGTCCTTTTCCTCGTTGCCGTCCTGGCTCTGTCCCAGGGCCGGTCCTCGCGACCGAGGATGGCCCAGATCTGCCGCCAGTTGGCCGCGCTCGCGGTGGCGGGCGGTATTGTCGCGGAGCTGCGGTGGCTCGCTTCCGAAGTGACCCCGTCCGATCAGCCGTCGCGGCGGGCCCTCCGTCTTAGTCTTGGCGCGCGACTCCGGTGGGCTGCAGTCGCCGGTCGGCCGCCGCGCAGGCTCGCGCCGGCCCGCAGGCGGATGGAGCAGGCGGCGCCGACGGTCCTGCCGGCGAGGTCGCCGGCCCAGGCCCCAGCGCGGGCCCCGCCCCGCCCGCCGCGAGGGGCCGCGTCCACCGACGCAGATCGAAGGCGGAGGAGGCGGCGCCCCGGCGCGGCCGCGCGGGCCGCGGCTCGGGCGCACGGGGGAGCAGCCTTCCGGGCCTCTGGTCTCCCGTGTTGAGGGTGTTCTCGGTGGCGGAGACCGCGAGGGCCAAGTATCTCGGCCTGTGGCGCGAGTTTTCGGTCTTGCTGGCGGCCTCGCCCGTGGCGCTGCAGACGGAGACGGCGACGCCCCCTCTCCCAGTGGATGGGCCAGCAGTGCGCGGATGGGGTGGGGCCCATATCGGGGCGCTTATGTGCAAGCGGCGCTGAAGTTCCTGATGCCGCAGTTCACGCGCGGGGGGCAGCGGCTGCCGCTGTCGCTGCAGGCGCTGCGCGGATGACGCCGCGAGGTCTTTCCGAGCGCCAGGTTCCCGCTCCCGCGGGATATCGTCGCGTCCAGGCTGATAGACGTGGGCCAACTGACTCCGGGGGGCACGCGCCGCGGCTGGCCCCTGGTCCTCCGCCCGCGCGAGCAGGACGTGCCGAGCAAGAAATTCAGACCCAGGTCTGCGATGTGGTGGCGCTCTTCGACGTGCTGTTCGACGGGTTGCTGCCTGCGGCTTTCTGGTGGCCGAAGGGGGCGACCCGCCCGAACGTGCCGCTGTTCCCAGCCACCCTCGTTCAGGCCAGCAATTGGCCTGGTCGAGCGAGCCGCAGTCGACGCGGGCACCGGGGCGCTGTCGCTCCGTCTGTGCCAGCTGTGGGCGCTAGCCAGCGTCGAGCTGCGCGGTCGCTGGAGGTTCGAAGCGTCAGTCGCCCGGTGCCTGGGGCCCAGCCGCGTCGACGGGCAGATGCAGCGCCTGGCGCCGGCGGTCCAGCGCGCGGCCCTGCTGGCCCCGGCTCGGCTGGACTCATTCCTCGGCTTGCGAGGAAGCTGCTCGGCCCGCGGGGGCGCGGCCCCCTCGCCCTGCCTGTCTTCGTGGATGTTTTCTCGGGGGCGGGCTTCCCGGCAGGCGCGCTGCGCAAGGTGGGCGCCCTCGTCGTCCATCGGGTAGGGCGTCTGCTGGGGGCCGGACTGGGGCGCGCGTGCAGGCTGGGTCCAGGTCGTGCAGGTCGGCGCCCCGTGCAAGGCTTGGGCGAGTGTCAGGGGCGCGGGGCCGCTTCGACAGCGAGCCCAGCCTGGCTTGTGGCCCAGCAGGTTGAGGTCCGACGCTGAGATCTGGGTCTCGCAGCAGTGATGCACCCAGCCGACGGTGCTCAGATCGCCGCGGCAAATCGCCCGGTGCGTTTCTGTGAGGCCTCTGGGCCAGCTGCCGTCGCATGCGTGTCCTGCTCGCTATTGTGTCTAGGCTTTGGCTCACTTCCTCGCTGGAGCGCGCTTTTCGGCGGACGTATTTTTTAGGGCCGTCTCTCATTGTTGTCAGGGTGGGGCGCCCTGGAAGAACGCCGAACGCCGCGGGCCTCTTCGGATATCGCGTTGATGTTGGACCTTTTGATTGCCAATGCCACGGCTCGCGAAATTGTTGTAGCAGAACTGGCAAGCCTCACCAAACCTCAGTTGGTCGTCCTCTGGGTGGGCCTGTTTGGACACCTGTGGCGCATCCGTGTTTTAGGCCGTTGGCCGCGAGGTGGGCCCGCGCCCTAGTCAATGCTCGCCTGCATTCCAATGCGCCGTGCATGTCCTCAGTCTGGCCCAGTCGCTACCTTGTTATGAGATGCCTTCCGTCATGTTCGGGAAAGTATCAGCCGTGGCCTTCAATGCAGAGTTCAGTCTCGAATCTCGTGTCTTTCTTCTACCGTAGCCTCATTGATCTCAGTGCAACCTCTCGCTCCAGTAACACTATCCGGCACCAACCTAGGAAAATCTATCTTCAGGGCATGGTCTTTTCGATTGGAGTTTTAATGCATTGTGGGGGTCGAAGGCCGACTGCATGTAGTGCTGCTGATTGCGCGAGCGTGCTCCAGAAACGCTCCGCCAGAGCACGTTGGCTTGATTAGCGCCGTAGCCTTTGGCTCTCGAGCGCCCTCCAGCCCGTCCTTGTCTTCCATTGCAGAACGTCCCCGAGCCGTGGGCTTCAATGAAGAGTTCAATTTCGATTATCGTGCCTTTCATCTGCCGTGGCCTCATTGATCTCGGTGCAACCTTTCGCTTTAATGACATACTCCGGCATTGGCCTCGAACA